AAGAGGATGCGAAGAGGTGGTGCATCATCCCGAGCATTAAAGGGCGCAAAGAGATGATGGACAACGGTTTTTTTTATACATCTTTATATTCATCGATTCCGTTGCAGCGCGAAAGCAAGTCAATTTTTCACAATCGAGCCCGTTTGACATTTTCAGAATCCCAATTAACGATCGACACGGCCTCGCCCTGCCTGCTATCTAATGACGCACCCTCTTACAGGATGCATACCGTCGTGTTCTTCCCTTCGGCCTTTGCGCTCGGCGGTTATGGGGGTTGGACAACTGGGGTAAGAATATGGGTCACGGCTGTTCTTCCTACGAGAAAATGCATGCATCGTCTTTGCAGCGCGGTAAATTAGATTGAATTGCGCTTCTTTTGGTTGATTGAGGATCGGGGGTAGATGGATTTTACTTCTCTACTACTTTATAGTATTTTTTTTAATACATACGCGGATGATATATTTAAAGATTCTCAATTAGATAATGAGGATAATTAAAGATCAATGTAATAATATTTGTTTTTGAAAACAACATTATTAAAGGTAAATTTAATTTTAAAAAATTATAATTAAAAGTGTTAAGCTGTCGAGCAAACAAATCGATTCTTCAAAGACGAAAATTGAAAAAAAAGATAAAAGAAAGATCTATGAACTCGACCTAATTCTGTGATCTGTGCCGTATATGGGCCAATGGGTGTAAGGTCACGCAACATGGAGATGCATGCATGCGTTTGCGCCGTCGTCACGGATTCACCACGCCACCGCGGCTGCGTGGTCGACATCATGTACCTGGACCAGGCTCTCTCTGATGCCTGTAAGTAGGGTAGGAGGGATATCAAAAGGGATATGGATGCAATACTCAATTAGACCCAGATTACAAGATATCTGGAGCGCCATGTTTGTACAATTATATCAATTATCAGTGAAAAATAACTTCTATTGTGTAAATTTGAATTGGTTTGCGTCAAAATCAAAAGAGTCGCGATAAATTTTCTCTTTTGCTGAATTAATGATTTGTAAGAGATTTTCAAACAAATTTAAACGCAATTTTAAAGTCGAAGCTCGGTTGCGCGAAGACATTTTGAGATATTAAAAATACACGAGAAAACTGCGTCTCAGAGATTTTTGTTATCAAAATAGTCGCTTTCCAAATTATTCACAAAATATATATTTGTTTATTTAAGAAAATTTTACAAACATAATATAAATTTCTACGTAAGACACATTTTTCCACACAAATCTATTGTATGTTGTAATGTGTTTGTAATGTTTTGCAAGTTAAATATATATTCACAGATTATTACGATCCAAGAAAAAATTCATCACCAAAAACAAACTACTGTTCACCGCTAATAATTGTTATAAAAGTATTAAAGTATTGATCTGATTATAATCTAATGATGTTACTCGTGTTTATCGATACGCGTAATTGGTAATTGTAGGTAATACATGGTGCAACCAAATTTCCCGTGAAGGCATTTAATGGAGATCAACGAGGTGGAGGGCGAGCGTCATTCAAATGAGGAGGTCGTGAGAGTGAGGGCAAAAATTATGTCACAAGGTAACAGCCGTTCAAACAGCCTGTCACCGGGTCCGAACAATGATTTTCTTTAATATTACATTTTGTTCAATATCATTTATTCACGTTATTATTCTTGAGTCACTGCAGAATTCAATCTGCTCGCAGTAATATTTATAACGCATTATAATTCTTCTATTTTGCATTAACAAGCACCGGTTGCGAAGCGCACACATGCGAGTCTCGAAAAGTTATTATTATCCTGTATTATGCCGGTATAACGAGTGTTTATCTCAGATGTGCTGCGCAACGAGAGAAAGAAAGAAGCGTCTCGGTGCAAAAAATTCACGCTATGCGATCTCTTTCTCTCTCTGTCTCTCTCTCATCGTTGTCGCGTCTCTACTTATTCTTCTCTTGGAAATGCATCTTTAGTGCATCGTTTTACGCGCGACACGCCCTCGTAAATGTGTTTTCGCGATTTTATGAACGCGACAGTCGTCTGAATGCAAATGTAATAAGTCACGTCCTTCGCAGCCGCGTCTAAAGCGCATTCCAAACACAATAATAGAGAAATCTGTATGTAGAGATAAAAAGCAATAATCAACTAAATAAATCTGTAATGGTATTTCACGATTGATACTCAAACTGCTTTAATTTGCAATTCTATAATTTCTTATAAAATTTGTAAAAACATTTGTAGAGTTTGAGAAATAAGATTATTGGAGAAATATCGGTTTTTAATATCGCGAAAAAAATTAATACAAATAAAATATCGCGGATGTCAGCAGTGAATTAGTTAATAATTCAAGATCAATATAACGACATACTCTGATAAAAAGTCCATTGACTCCATGTCTAATTAAGCAATTAGATGAGTGCGGCAAGGTTCTTATCTGATTGTTTTACTGAACCTTTTCTAGGCAGGTCACGGTTCCCGACAAAGTCGTCGTTCCTTTGGTCGCTATCTTTGGCACGCCTCGCTTCTAACTTGGATACTTTTGGATCATCCCGAATTCCAACTCACAAGAGTCTCTCGTAACTTCCACGACGCCAAATTGAAAACATGTTTGCTCGAAACGATTTAAAAGTCATAAAAGTGACCAAGAATAAATCAGATACGTTTAATTATCAAATATTCTATGTAAATTTTCAACTATTAAACAACAATTAAAATTGAATTTTATATCAAAATTAAAATTACAGATCGTTTTTAAATAATTGTTGTGCTGATTAAAATAATATAATTTGCATAAAATTGCTAACAAAGAAAAATGCACAGTAGTATAGTCGTGTAGTATGAACTACCAGAAATACACACGGAAGCAAAATGTTACGTGGAAAAAGTCAATAACTGCTGCGATTATTCTCCTTTGTTTCACAAAAGATTCACTCGCGCGATTGTTTTTTTCACGTATTTTTTTCATGATATTTACTGATAAAAAAAATGTAAATTTTTTGATTATAGAAAGAGTAAAGTACTCTTTATATAAGAAATTTACAAAACTTTACGTGTGTGAAACAAAAGTTTTATATATATATATATATAGAAATACGTCTTTAAAAAACTAAGAAAAATATAAAATCTACCTAACAAGAAGTCTTGAAAGATGTAAAACTGAAAATTCGAGATGATTTACAAGCATTGTATAACCGCGTCGCAGAATCGTCATTCGGATTTATATTATTCGGAGCAGCTCAAGTGATTTTCGTAAAAAATACGTAACTACATGTATACATATGTATACACAATAAAAAAAAACATTGATAACACTGCGTTTGCATTATGAATTGCAAAACTAGAACGCGCGTTTTTCATTACAGATTGCAATCGGCAGGTTACGCGCGCGGCTATTCAAATCATAAAGTTTCAGCGAGCATTCCAAACGTGCGAGAAAACCGTGTGTGACACGCATCCCTGCTCACGCACGTGTATGAAAAAAACAAAAGAGAAAGAGAGAGATATGGGATATGAGAAAGATAAAAAAAAAAAAAGATCTTGGAAAGTCACACAAACAATCGTACGGCGAAGCGAATCTCGGCAACGATCTCGGCAACCGCCTTCCGGACTCACTCGTCGTCGAAGCCAATCGTGTTTCGATTCTTAATCCCGATGGAAGAAAGATCTCGCGGGATCACTGCACTGACTCGTTCACTGTGTCACTATGTCACTGGCCTTATCACCGTAACCCGCCGCTGGACCGTGGCGTTATCATCGCGTCATCAAGACGCAGCAATCCCGAGGATTAGCGCTTTCGCGATCGGCTGCATTCGATAGCATCGGAGGGAGGAACAAAAAAAAAGAGAGAGCGCGCTTTCTTGGGAAAGGGAGAAGATAAAAAAACAGAAGAGAGAGAGAGAGAGAGAAAGAGAAAAAGAGAGAAAGGGGAAAAGGAGGAGGAGAAAGACAGACCGATTTGAAGGGAGAAACAGCGATGGAACGCGCGCGCGAATTGTTCACCGATGCAGCCGACAGCACGACTGGCGGCGGCGGCCTTACCGCACCTCTGCACATCCACCCACGCTATATCGATCTCTTCCCGTCCTCCTCCACCTCGTCGTTGCGCCTCTCCTCCGTCTCGCTTCTCTCGGCACTTCCGAGTACGTATTCGCACCGGGACCGGGAGCGCAGTGTGGCGGCGGTGTCGGCGCTGCTGCCCGCGATTCGGTGAGGAGGAGGTTACTGCTGGTGGTATAAGCTCTACGTTGAGCTCAGATACATTTGTATTGTACGCGGAGATTGTGTAGGCGCTGAGCATGCGCGCAGGTGTGTATATATGCGTGTGTATGAATGGATAGCAAAATCGTATATATGTACATGTATATGTGTAAGACGAGGAGTAATATCATAGTATCGCCGAGCGCGGGGATGGCGCATCCTTAATATTATATAAAGGGTATTGAGAATAGAGAGATATGCGCGTGTTTTACTTCGTAGAATTTTCGAAAGATAAAAAAAATTCTCTTTAATTACACGATATCGGGTCGGTTGTAAACGAGCACAAAAATAAATAGTCTTCACGAGATAACGATGACAGTGTAACGGATAATACACTATCTATCACGAATAGGCCGCAACTGTGGAGAACCATCGCAAATAATTTGGTAGCGCGGCGGTACCAGGCGACAGAGACACGAGGCGAGGAGGGGATTGAGAGAAAGGAACGTCACTTCCGGCCCATTAAGACAGTCAAGGGTCGCGCGAATCGTGCGCGGGAGGCTAATTATTCCGGGGACAGTGTCTCTCATTTTCGATAATTTTGTTATATGTTTTTCTTAATTTGTTGTTTTTTTGTAATAATAATTTTTTCAAAAACATAATAATATAATGTATTTTATATATAAAAAGTCAATTATATTTTTTTTTCTAACAAGTTAATTTTTCGAGATAATAGTTGTTGATTATTCGCAAAAACTTGCGAACAATTCATGATAAGAAAACTCCGCAAAGAATTTATTGTAACAAGATACACAGTGAAACTTACCTGATCTGCGCGTGGTAGGCAGGTGTGGTGTGTTCGGTGTGCGTGGTCAAAAGTTCCGCGGTATTGTTGGCCATATCTATCGGATGTCCTATCGAGTGCGTGATCGGCTCCAGCAAGAGAACGCCGGGCGTCGCCGGCGACGGTTGTGGACCTAGCAACGAGACGCGTACTTTTTCTCTACCCTCACTGAAATAAAAAAATCATTTTTTTTTTGTTTAAATGTCTGTCAACACTTTTATATTAAAATAAGAATATTGTTCTATATTTATAACAGAATATTTGTGGGATAAATTATAGTAACATATAATAGAGACATATGTTTTATATATAGAGAGAGAAATGGGGTAATGGTTTGTATCTATAGCCTATAAGTGTAACGTCTTTTCCTTCTACTAGCAATGCAATTTCTGAGTAACTCACTTTCACGTTCTTCATTGAAGGCGCTTAACGACCGTCTTTGTGTTCGACGAACCAACGGGTCTCGGATAACAAAGTAAAGAACGGATTTCCGCTACTTTTTGCGAGACTCGTGAAAAAAATAAGCCGAGCGAAATTTAACGATTTAACTTCCGCTTTTGTCGCCACGCCTCTTCGCGTGTCCTATCGTCAGGAGCGCGCAGCACCATTTCTCGCAAACGCCCGTGTTGCACGCACACATGCAAGATAATTCACTCTCACATATATATACCTAAGGTAATTCTTTGCTAGCTGGGTGAAAGAATAAGCGTATAACACAACAATAAATAAATCTTTCGCGTTTTTTTTTTTAGTAAAATTTTAATTAGAAATATCAAACACAAATACATAAAACTGTTCAAAAATATTTATGATTAAAAATGGTAAAAAATTATCTTTATTTTATAATATATATTTTTCGGTTAAATGGAATAAAAGTTATAATTAATTTCTTAGAAAAGCTTGGAAAAAACCGTAAAACGTTTCAATTCCATCTTACGCCCGGAGCATTTTGAACGCGTGTTTATCCAGCAAGCGACGAGGCAAGTCGCTCGTCTGATTGCTCGTTTGCCGCTTACATAACTTTCCGACGATGTCATTCACGTTACGCATCGCGGTGCAGCGTCGTTGATGGACCGAGAGATTTCTCGTTGGGATGATGTTGTTGTGTGGTATACAAATATAAGAGAGGGGGACGTGTGCGTCGGAATTGCAACGAACGAATATGCGCAACGCAATTCCGAAAACTCCGTGACATTCTATTCCTTAATCCCTACCGTGCTCAAAGTATCATATTTGTAATACCTGTCGAAAAAGTAGTGTCGAAAGTATTGATTTTATGTATATTATTTTGACTAATAGATTGACGTATATAGAATATCTTACGTATCTTCAACATTCAACTTGAAGAATTTTATTTCTGATGATGATCGAAATCGAGAATCGAAACGTAAAATATTATTTTATCAACTAAATATGTAAATATATAAATTCTATTAATTAATAAATATGTTGAACTACTTGCATTAGCTTTTTTGTGGATGCCGTATTTCATTAATTAGTTTGTTTAACTTGGTGCATCTCTTTTGTATTTTATTTTATTTTATTTTATTCTTTTTTAGATATTTCCTTTCTTTTTTTACGCTCTTTAACATGTTAATAATACAGCTTTTTTTTTCCTGTCGTTAAAGTAATTTCGCGAAAATTGGCGAAATTTCTCAATTTATGTATCTTGGAATTAGTCATTATCCGCAATGTGAGTGAGAAGGTTAATTTGTAATAATTAACCCTATACTGGCTTAATTCAAGAAATAAGATCTTCTCGCATGAAACATCCATCATGATTATGTCTTCTTACATACACGAACGAAGAATATCATTGATTAGGTGATTTGTCGTCGATTTGATAACAAATTTGCAGAGAGATTAATTGAACGGTATCTACGAAAAATGAGACGAGTGAGAACAATGCCCCAAGCGCAATATCAGCGGATGATGAGTTTCAATTCGGAATTTCGCCATCGTTCGTTTACATTTTTGCGAAAATCCCCCGCATACACGTGTTGCACAAGTGGCACTTTGCCAGCGCGCGTACAACAGACTGCCAACTGTCGAGAGTGCATATCAGGGTGGCGCGGCTTTGTGCTATGAATCTTTAAAATGGCCGCTTCATAATTCGCGCAATGAACAATCGGGAAAGACAAGAGCTCTCTTTCTTTCTCTCTCTCTGTCTGTCTTTCGAAAAAGCGCAATATCTAAAGTGCAGTTCTCTTCTATTTTCGTCCACGCTGCGGGAAAGATGTCCGATTCACGTTTCACGTGCTATTGCGAATAATTCATGTCGCGGTGAGTGCCAAAAGACGAATAAAACGTAAGGAAAGATACGAAAGAAATTAATACTAATGAGAGAGAACACAAAAAATAGAAAAAGTATGTTCTAAATAGATACTTGTACAGATAATTTAAAATGGCCGCTTTATAGTAAACATTGCGAGAAGTTTCACTTGCTTTAATAGCCGAAGTAAAAATATAAGCGAGACGACTCTGCATGGAATCTAAAAAAAATCAGATGCGACTCCTGAGGATATTATTTTTTGTAGTTTTTTTTAAATTAAAATTAATTTGAATAAATATGTAACGTTAATTTACACTTTAAAAAATATTTCGTATGTTAATTCAACGCATATTTTTAAAAACTATCATTTCTCTTAGTTGGAAACTATCAAAACCGCATTTAGATTATTTATTTATACTCAGTAATTTATCCAAAAGTTAAATGTTATATGTGTGCGAGCGTTCCGCATCGCTAAATTGCGTCATTTCACCACCTGCTCATATTTGATGGATTCAGGACACGCTATATAAGTGCATCTATCTATCGTTTTACGTCGCGTACTCATGAAACTCGATTCGATGAATATCCTTAGGGAACTATTCCGCTGGTTTAGGAAGATGGAAGATCGGCATGTTTGAAAAAACGATCTCGAGAAAAATTGGCTGCATCTTGAAAGCTCATAGTCGGGTAAGGGAAAAGGGAATGGGATAATATTATATCGACATATTCCGCGGTGGCGCGTCACAGGGTTCTCGAGAGAAGAACGTAAGTACATATGCGCTTGTACTCACTGGAGAGTGTAGACTTTGCGAGAAAAAATGTGCCACGGAATGAAATGCGAATGTGTCATCGCGACAAAAATAGAAATTTAAGATACCGCTGAAAACACACGTGATAAACATTTAAAAGATAAAGATGTGAAAAAAAATGTGCGCGTAGTATATAAAATAAAATTCCGATGTTCGCAGGCGTGACGTGAGTCATTCGCCGAGATAAAAAATTGTGCGCGTTCAGCTGGGAATAGAGTTAACGAGGTATTTATTTTGCTTGATAAATAGGTCATTACGGCAATCTCATGCGCGCGTCCGATAAGCTACTAGGAGAGGTTTAGTGTTGAGCGTGTTAGCCTTCATCCACTTCTCGCTACTGCAGGCTGAAATTCATTGCTTTGATAGGTATATACACAATCACTTGTGATATCGCGGTTTACGTCGAATAATATCGAATACAAACCGTACAACCTGCAGTGTTTGTGACTTCTGAGAGCGTTTCGGTGTTGATAATTGAATGGTACAATCTCTCTGCAGCGTTTGACATCTGAGAATATTTTGGTGTTATAATAATCAAACGGTCATCACCGAAAGATGATGTAAAATATCGAGAAATTTGATAGGATAGCAATTTCTATCGACGAACAAAAAAAATCTTTAATTATACATAAATATTTTACATTTATACTTGAAACATGTTTTCAATTTTATCCGGTAACAGGTTTTATTACAGTTTTCGCCGATCGATGTAGGTCGCCTGCAAGTAGCCGTCTGCTGCCCTCGAACGAGGGATCCGTGTGAGTCTCTCCGTGAAAAAAAAAAGTGAGAACGATAGCTCGAGAACTCGGTCTTGTCGGAGGAATGCGCTTCGAGGGACTCATGATCTTGCGCAACATCCTCGACGGTCACGTGTAATCGACCAAAACGAGTCAACGGAGGATCGGAGAATCGAAGAGAGGGACCGAAAATGTCGGATGCAGACAGGACGAAGCTTGGGAACCGGTTTGCAACCACGGTTGCCGGCTGGTAGATTCAATCCTGCGCGTCAATAACGATTCCCTCGAACGCGCAAGGAAAGTGCGAAGAGTATACTCGCAGAATGTGTACCTTTCGATATGAAGCTGTCGCTCGAGATATGATGATCTTCGCGAGAAAGCTCGATAAAATAAACAAGAAAATGTGATGAAGAAGAGATGAAGACTGATCCTCGCATAGATAACAACTTCGAACTGAAATCCTCGAATCATACAAATTGATAATTCTTTCGAATCTGCGGGGTTTTATCAACTTAAATATTCGGAATCTCTTCAGAACTAAAGATTTAAGAATTTATACTCTATTATTTTTGCACTAAACAAACATTTGAATTCATATAAATAAATAAGACGTATAAATAAACGTATTTTGTACAAATAAAAAGATTATTTGCGCGAAAACATTGTCAAAATACGTTGAACACTTCTGAATTCCAAGATCGCTGAAAGATTTTCGCAGAGTCTCCGAGACTCTGTTGCATAATATCGATTTAACAGTTTGCACGATCTACACATGCTATTGTTGTTTACGCACTGACGCGCAGCAATAGGCACCGGAGTCTGGCGTCATCGGGTAGTTAAACACCTCACGAGTGAGGCCTTGAAACCGTGACATCACCATCCTAATCGCCTGCTTTATTCACGATCGGATCAACTCGTTATTTTCTCTAACATATTCCGGACGAAAACAAGATTAACTTTCTCATCAATTTTTAATGAGAAAAATCGAGCATTCGATACATTGAAAGTGATTGTGTATCAGCAAATTCGGTAGCCTGCACTAGTGCGCACTGAGTGCGACTTTCTCAATAAAAAAAAGTCGCACTCGGTGCGCACTAGTGCAACCTACCGAATTCGCTACTTATTACATGTTTTTGTGTATATTACATTAAAAAAAAAGAAAAAAAAAGTTGATCATTTTGTGATTTTGAATATCTTATAAAATGTGAACACTGAAAATTAATGCCATGCGAGTTCTGCAAATATTAATCGAATCGATGATATCATTGAACAGGAATTCAACCCACACAACGCGCTCGGGAAAATTATATATATATATATATATTAAAACCAAGTAGCTTTAATCTAGCA